TTCCGGCCTCGCCCTAGCGCAAAAACCTCACAAAAAAAAAAAAAAAAAGGTCTGGGGGGGGCCAGCAGATAGCATACTGGGTGGGCAAATATTGGACTCCCACATGGCTAATCATGATTTCCAGACCCAGTGCTTGAAATTCACACCAGGTTTATGTGTGTGCAATCTCAAAATCCCAAGAGAAGAATGGAGGACAAGGGATTGTGGTGTGGGCATCCCCCTAGGGGGTGATTTCTTGCTTTCTGTCTGTCTCTCTGGTGAGCTCACATGCCTTATAGCAAAAATCTCTCAAATAAAAAAACAAAAACAAAAACAAACAAAACTGAAGTTTTTGTTTTATGAATGTAAAAAGTAAAATAATCCAAACAAAAAAAATTACTTTCATCTTCCTCTAAATCTTACTCTTTAGATAAAATATAAACAAAATGTACTAGGTCTTCACATGAAAATTATCATTTCAAGAGCCATTAACATGTTTATCATTTTCTATGAATGGTCTTTGCCGGTTGCTGGTTATCTTTCCTTTAAAGTGCTGAGTTTAGATTTATGTGCAAAAATCAGATCTGGTCTCATTAAATATAAGTACAAGGAGACAATTCTTTCCCGGAAAATAAATTTCTTTACCTTGTGCTTGTAGTTCCATTCATTTACTCACATTACAGTCTTGGCTTATTTGCTTACCTTACAAGATTATCCTAAAATGGGATGTCATCTGAAATTTACTTGACAACTGTCAGGCTCATAATTGTTTTTCAAGTATATCTGCAATTGTTTTGGGTCATTTCAGGAAGTTAGATTAAATCAAAATCATCCTATATCTGCAGAGAGTTTTAAAATTATTTCTTTTCTATAGGATTTCACAGTCTTAATCATGCTTATTTTAGGTTTTAGATAATAAATGATACTTGGCAAAATAAATTAACAACTGAAATTTAGTTGCACTGATTTTTCTCGAGTATTTACTATGAAAACTTATTCATCATCTATTAGGGACACTCCTTCTTTGTTTTCATATGGTAAATGTCATTAAGAGATTTCCATTGTTTCATCTCTTTTTATTCACATTTTCTGTTAGGCTTTATTATTCCCCATACAATTCTAAAGTATGATGACTTGTTTTAATGTCTAATTATGTATCCAGTCATATACTTTGTTCCACATAGTTTATCTTATAAAATGAAGCTGTAATGTTATAGACACACTTACATATATATATATACACACACATATATACACATCATTTATTTACATTAATCACCTTTTATTTTTAGATGGGTTGTTGGAGATAACCACCTTTTAAAAAATAAATATATTATAATTACAGCAAGGCATTACCTATTCAGCATGGTATTACATATTAATATGAATGCTTCTAATTATCAAGAAAAAAATTTTAAAGCATGATTAGAATATGACTGGAGTTACACCAATCAAGTTCAACATCTTAGATAATGTAAGATACTGACAGCATCATTGTAGGTGTAATTTAGCTGTGAGCCAGCTGTCCAACTACAATGTGTGCATGTGCTCAGCATTATAAATAGCCTTTTAGACTCTTCGCACTTGCTAAATATCCTTATAGACCATATGTTCCTATTTATTTATTTCCTTATTTATTTTTTACCTTTCCAAACTAATCCACCTCACTCTAATAGCAACCCAGTATGCCAGTACCCACTCATCTAGTTCAGTAACACTTTCGCTTATTTAGAATTTTAAAGGTAGTTCTGCTTTGGCATTTCTACCATGAAAGCCATCGAAAAATGTTATTGACAATGATGTCTTGCACACATATTGTTGGAATGGAGAGCACTTGACAGCTTATGTCCACTCAGCCTAAGTACTCAATTACTTTTTGTCAAATATAAATGGATTCTCTTAAGGTTTATAGTTTGTCCAATACCCATAATTTATTCAAAACTCAATTAAAACTCTAATCTGTTGTATTCATTTGTACTGCATCTTTCACATATATTTGCACTGACTCATAAAAGCAGCTATTTTAAAATATTTTTCAACTACTCATATAAGCATACATTAAGGAATAACAAATTAATATGTTAAAAGCAGCGATTTCATTAATACAAAAAAAAACAAAAATGTTTTCCTACATATTTTCTATAATAAATATAAAGTATAAATATTGAACGTTTCTGTGTCACTTGCTAAGCTATTCCTAAATTTCATTTAGAAATAATCCTAAATAGTTTTAACTTGTAGTTACAGGTTTTTCTTAGGACTTATTTTTTTCATAAGAACTTATAAATGTAAGTTGACTTTTTGCAGCAAATTCAGGGAGGATTGATTCTAATATTAATTGTTCTGTTGTATCATAGTATCACAACTCTTGGTGTCACTTTAAAATGTGCTGCTTTGGAGCCAGCCAATGGCATTGTAGGTTAAGGTATTAAAACTGATACCCAAATGGCTGACTATGTAGTTTAATTCCTGGACGCAGCAGCTTGATAAATACACTAGGCTTGTGTGCATGTGTGTCCAAAATCCCAAAAAGAGAAAGGGAGAAAAGGGATTATGGTATGGGGAAGGTGTTTTCTCCCTTTTTCTCTCTGTCTTTCTCTGGCAAGCACATCTGCTTTCTAACACAAAACAAATAAAATCAATGCTTTAGAAACAAAGATGATAATTGTGGAACAATAAAGTTACTATTGTTTTAAATTTAGTACGTTAGGTAAATTTGTTTGATATTGGACCTCAAAATTAAACAATACATTTTTAATAGAGAAGTTTAAAATAATGATATAGAATTTAAGATTAAAAAATTATATTCTGGGGACCAGCAAATGACATAATGGTTACATTGCTGGACTCCCACATAGTCGGCAGTGGTTTGAGCCCCAGACTCAGTGGTTTAAACTCACACTGGGCACATGTGTGTGTATATGCCAAAAATCCCAAGAGAATGGAAGAGAAGGGATTGCAGTATAGCCATACCACCTAAGGAGTGATTTCTCACTTTCTGTCTCTCGGTCACTCTAGTGAGTGCACATGCCCTATTGCAAAAATCTCTTAAAAAGCTATATTCTGCTTATTGTTAGTCTACTTTTCATTATGAAAGTGTAAAGATGTTTTTCTTTACCTATATGAATAGAATTATTCAGTATTCTATTTGTCCTCAATGGTATCATAAAGAGACCATTCTGCTGAAACTGTCTATAATGTTAGAAGCCAACAATACGTTTCATTCTGATAGAGTGCCTTATACTTGATATAGAAAATAACCCCCCATAATGCCAATATTAGGAAAACCATGAAGTCAAAGGTCCTCAGTTTTAAGTGAATATGTTCAAGCTTTCCTTTGAAGAATAAACTGAAGTGCCTAAGTCCTGGGTCAGACAGTTTGTTATGTGTCCCTCACCTGTACATACCTGCATAACCAGTCACAGGAACAAAAGCAGGAAGTTAGCATCATTGAAGATGTCTTCCTGCTTTCTTCTTCTCACTGTTCACCACTGCTTCTCAGCACCTGTCAAAGGCACTGCTATCTCTATGGTGGACACTGGGTCACCATTTTATTCACTTCCCAAGATCTACTTTGTTAATCAATGAGTTTCCGTTGGAAGACAATCTGATGTTTTGGTGATAATTAAATGTTGTTTTTCATTGAATAGGTCCTAAGTGGTACCCTTCACGAGTTGGCTTGCAGCTGGAACACGGTAAGAACCAATTTTCACTGGCCTATTTGATTTAGAATCACTTTTCAATCATCAGATGGTATTCATGTGTGGGATCCACGTGGAATCCAGCCATCTTTTTGTTTTTTTAAAGAATTATTTATTTAATTTTATTTATTCATTCACTTATTTTAATTTGACCAGAGAGAATGAGAGAGAAAGTGAGAAGGCAATCCACCATGTCCAAGACTTGAGCCATGGTCGGCCATGTGGAAGTGTCCAGCACTTTAGCCACCATGCCACCTGCTGATCCCCAGTCATCTTAACCTCTCTGCTAGCTGTTAGCCCTGGAGGTCAATGCTTAATGGGAGAAGTGAAGAAGCCGTAGTGTAAATTCTTTTAACACAGAAATGGTGAAGAATTGCAGCCACTACTGGAACAGACCCATCTACCAACTGTTAAGTAAAATTAGTTCTGTCTTTTTATCTCGATCAACATGCTTCATCATGATCTGGAAGAACTCTGTTGTATTTCTAATTCTTGCTATAGGGCACATGCGCTCACCAGATAGTCAGAGAGAGACAGAGAGACAGAAAGTGATAAATCACCCCTCGGGGTGATGGCCATGCTGCAATCCCTTCTCCTCCATTCTCCTCTTGGGATCTTGGGCATGCATGCACATGTGCCTGGTGTGTTTTAAGCCACTGGGTCCGGGACGCGAACCGTGGTTGACTACGAGGGAGTCCAGCGACACAGCCTTTGTGCTAACTGCTGGTCCCTGTATTTCTAATTCTTAGTGACAGTAGATTTCTAAACTGGAAGGATGATAGAGGGAAACTGGCTTTCCTGATATCCATCCATTTTAATACGTTTAGCTCTAGTCCGCTTCATTTTTTTCCCCTGCATGGATACATTCGTTTGAATAAAAAAATGATCTGTTATTTCAGTAAAGAACATTTATTTTAAAACATTTTTTGCTACCATTATATGGCTCTAAAATGTCATTTTTACACATATGCTTCACATATTTTGGACTTGGCTTCTATTTTTAAGAACAGAACATTTACATCTTCTGAGATATCAATTCTGTTTATTTCACATCTATTTCATGAGCAGCCCTTTCTCAGTAACCTTTGCTGTATCTTCTGTCTAAATCTGGAATGCTAGCAGGCTCTGTCTGTTTCATTTTCCTCTGTTTAAGCGAATACATAATCCCATCAATCCTCATGACTTTAAGTATTAGTAACTTTCAAATATCTACAGCACATCTACCATGCTGTCTATTTGACAGCTCTTTCTGGAGTATCTAGTACACATCGGGCCCTTAACACACTGAATCAGAATGCTTAACTTTAACTCTGAACTTATTCCTTCCTCTTTTTCATGTTAGTCGATGAGATTACAATGCACTGGAGTGCTTAGGCCAAAAAACTGAGAGCCATCTTTATCTCAATGAATACTCTCTTGTCAACTAATTTGTCAGTAAGTTGAATCTACTCTATGTTCAAAATTTATCTAGAACTGAGAAATATTTAACATTTCATAAGGATCACTTTCACACAAATATAACCTCCTGCTTGGTCAATATTGAGTACCTCCTAAATAATCTCCCTTCTTCCCTATATATAATTTTTTCACTCCACATATGTAGTGATCTCTTGAGGAAATAACTCCTTGAGACCAACAGTTGGTGTTATGGCTACATCGCTGGACTCTCATGTAGTTCATCAATGTTTGAGTCCCAGACTCAGTGGCTTAAACTCACGCCGGGTGCGTGTGCGTGTGTGCCTAAGATCCCGAGAGGAGAAGAGAGGAAAATGGACTGCAGCATAGCCATCCCCTCTAGGGGTGATTTCTCACTTTCTGTCTCTCTATCTCTGTCTTTCTGGCAAGCACACTTGCAGTATAGCAAAGACCTCTCAGAAAAAAAAAAAAAAATGTAAAAAGGAAAAGAAAGAAAGAAAGAGAAGAAAGAGAAAAGAAAGTAAATCCTGATCGTCTCCTTGTACTTTTGGCATGGACATTGGAATTCATCTACCCCCAACTCATTTATTTTACAATAAAATCACTTAGAGAATAGTGTTTATTTAGACCTAGTAACTCCCAAATTTATACTTTTCATAAAAATTCTTGTCTTCATTCAGCAGATGGCATAATGGTTACATCTTTGTACTTCCACATGGTTGACATGGTTCAAGTTCCAGAAGTGGAGGTTTGAAACTCATACCAGGCACCATGTGTACATGTGTGCCGAAAATCCTGAGAGGAGAATGGAGGAGAAGGGATTGTGGTGTGGACATATTGTCTGGGGAGATACACGACCCGATAGTAGTGGCCTGGCACAGAAAGTGGGGGGAGATATATATATATATATATATATATATATATATATATATATGTGTGCACACATGTGTGTATATACAGATATTTATATATGCACACATATATTCATATATATTTATATATGTATACATATATACACATATGTATATATTTGAGCATATATTTAAAATATATTTTATATATTTATATACATATATAATATTTAAACACACTCACATATATATGTTTTTGCTATAGTATACATGCACTAACCAGAGAAAAACAGAGGGAGAAAGTGAGAAATCACCCCCCACAGGAATGGTCATGCCTCAATCCTTTATCTATTCTCCTCCTGGGATTTTGGGCACATATGCACATTCTCCCAGCATAATTTTCAAGCCACAGGGTCTGGTACTCAAATCATAGTTGGCCATGTGGGAGTTCAGTGCCTTAACCATTAAGCCATGATTACATCTTAAAAATATCTTTTTCTCAAAAATAGGATGGTATCTAATAGTATTCTCAATTTGGTTAGACAGCCTTGGGAAAACCTTTGTGCATGTGAAAAGTTATGAGATATATTTTATGAAATGGGTTTGTTCATATTTGATTTTATTTGAAGATTGATTATACATTATAATTTTGGTACTAAAAATACTAAGCCTTGATTACATCTTAAAAATATCTTTTTCTCAAAAATAGGATGGTATCTAATAGTATTCTCAATTTGGTTAGACAGCCTTGGGAAAACCTTTGTGCATGTGAAAAGTTATGAGATATATTTTATGAAATGGGTTTGTTCATATTTGATTTTATTTGAAGATTGATTATACATTATAATTTTGGTACTAAAAATACCTTAGCTTTCTGTTGGTTTTTATTATTATGCCTTGAAAAGTTATGTGAAAATATTATTTTCTTTTACTTTAGGTGAGCCTTTTTTGAAGGACTATACCACAATTGAAAGTATTGCGGCTTCCTCTCTTGTCTCACTCTATTTTACAGACCTAGGTCAACAAGTTAGTTGGACCACAGTAAGTGTCAATTTAAAATACAACATATATGTCCCACATTTTGCTTTAAATAGTTTTTATATAATTTCTATAAAATAAACTCACGAATTATTGTGCTGACTGCTATTTTTAATTTTTAGTTCTTATTGTGATCAGTGGTCAAAGTTATGTTTAAGAATCAGAACAACAGAAATCTACAGCTGCAAAAAAAATACATAACTTTTATCTTTGTAATATCAACCTGTCCTATGATTGGGGGCTCTTCTTTCTTCTCTGCCCAATTAGTTAAGTGGTATCTTTTAACCTTTGCCTAGGGATATAAAGACCCTCTTAATGTTGAAAAGAAAAGGTATAGACTATACAGTCAAAAAAAGATTCTAATGTGGGAGGGAAGACATTTTGGGAAACATTGAAAGTGAAGTTTAAGATTTATTTTAGCTTGTGAGGTCTTTTTTTTTTTTTTTTTTTTTGTTGTTTTTAGAGGAT